AAAATTACTATCCTTATTGTCCTACACAGGAGGCATTCACTTGCTTCAACAGCAAGTTCAATGTTAAACTGTAGATCTACACAAGAGTAAAATGTTTATAAATAAAAAATACATATATCAGGGTTCCTACAGCATAAGGAAAGTTAAATTCAAGACTTTTTAATGCCACTTAAAATAAAAATTTAAGGCCAACTTTACAATAACCTCAAGAAAAATTTACCCCAAATGTTTATTTTAACATAAACTATTACTTTCTGGCTCAGTAGATATGTTTCAAATTTTCTAAAACTTTCCATATAGGAAGAAAGCTAAAAATAACACAAATAACAGATACATTTGTAACTAGTGTGTCAATAGCCTATTTTTCGTTGTATTTAAACTTCCCCATGCTGTCCAGATAAAAAGCTAGTGGCACATCACCCCAAGGTCCGGCCGCAACATCGTTTTTATTGGTTCTGCTATCGGGACGGAACCAATAATAGTTACAGCGAGCGGTTCGGCAAAGGTAAGAAAGACATTGTCAATTAAAGACTGATTTAAGGCATTTTAATACCAATTAAGGCCTTGATTTTATACTGAAGAATTCAATGCCTTTTAATACTTTTTAAGGATCTGCAGGAACCCTGTATATACAGCAGACTGTGCAAAAGGCTCATTTTGAAACAAAGAAAATTTTTAGTTTTTAAGATTGTTGATTGGCCAGAAACCCACAACTGGTGCATCCCTAATAGCAACATAAAGTTCCTCAGTAAGGCATTTGAAGTTGGGACATTTCTTGAAAGAGATATCTTGCTGGCAGCCGTCTATACCGGTAAAAGAAATTCATATACATCCAAAAAAACACCTACAGATACTTGATTTTGGGCTTTACACTGAAAATAACACGTGTTCTTCATGAAAAGAGGTCAGACTGGACAGAGAAAGGGGCCAAGGTAAAACTTAATTGCCAAAATATCTGCTTTCATTTACAAATTGCTGCACAATCACTTCACATCACCATTCTCATCAACATTATCACAGAAGTCCCTTCTCAAAATATAACCTAAACGTTTCACGTCCTCCACCACTCTCCTAGTCTCCTAATCAGAAAAATTTAACATGTAGGTTTTTACCATAAAACAACAAGAATTAATTGAATCAGAGAAACCCAAAGAAGCCTGTAAAAGAGCAGCTTGGCCTTAATTTTTAAAACATGTTTGCTTTGATGCATAAAAATAAGAAGACTATTTGAAAAAAAGAAAAAGTCTTTCCAAAATTAGCAAATATTTAGTAGATATGGTGTGGAGCCATCATAAAAAATAGCCTGACTCACTGAAGGCCAAACTCCAGCCTAGAATGTCAGATTATCTGCTATAATATCTCATTCTGAAGAAATAGGCACTTCATAAAATAATAAAACGTGGGATATAGTTTGAGGCACAGAATAATTCATAGAATAATTCATTTCAGTTCCCAATAACTTCAAGGTCCTGGCTTTGAAAAGTTTTACTTTTTTTTTTCTTTTTTATGTGCTGGCTCTCATATGATTCAATAAAGGCAATTTTCGCTCAGATCTTTTGTTTGGTTGGACATTTTTCCTATATATATATACACATAAATACTAGGGATGGAACGGTTTATGAAAACCGTCCGAACCGTTCGGTTCGACTGTCTCGGTTCGATTCGCGTGTGTTTCGTTCGGTTCATGTGCTGCTCCTTTTTCTCATAGGCAAAGCGTTTACACTCCAGAGCAGAAGGTGGCGGTACTGCGACCAAAGCCAACCACCAGTAGTAAACA